TACTTATAAATCTTTAACAATCTTAAAGTGTATCAAGCTATAAAAATCAATGTTTGATTTGTAAAAAAAAAAACTCTTCTGAAATGGTTTTATGACATATATATAGTGTAGAAAATTGTCTTAAAAGCGAATGGCAAATGCACAAAATCATTTATTAACGGATAAAAACCCAAAGCAGAATAATACTTTGTTTAGGATGATACTGTATGCGTACAATATATTCATGTGCATAACATAACAGAGATATTCTATGTTACAACTCTTTCGAAATTGATCATGATAATGTGAAACCGTTTTAAGTTTGCTGTTGATAAGTTTTATAAAAATATAAAATTAAGCGTTATGGCCTTTAAATGAGACTTGCAGGCTTATTCCGTAGACATAAAAAAGAAAAGGTATCATACCTGAGGTGTTACTTTGACGTTTCATCTAGCCTTTCTTTTCCCTTACTGTAACAGTTCGTATACGATAAGTTGTAACGCGGCGAACTTTTAAACGAAGCTTGGAATGAACACGTGGTTTTACCGCCTTTTCCGGCTGCACGGGCTGTATAATTTGCTGTGTTGGATGTGAAGTCGGTACAAAGAAAATGTCAAGGTCGTCGTCATCTGAAATAATGATTTATGCGGATGTGATTATTTCAAGTACATTGCGTTTCTGTGACAAAAAAATGTATTTAAAAGTTTCTTTTACATGTAAAGATGTTTTGAAAATGATTTATCAAGGGATACAAGTCTGACTATGAAAATATTATACAAACAATGAAATATATGAGACCGTAATTATTCAAACAAACAAATAATTTGTATCCGTACAATGAAAAGCAAAAAGTAATAACAACGAAAATTAAATTCTATAGAAAGAAAAATAGGCTTTACTATATGAATACCATTTTAAAGTTTTAAGAACAATGCCATACAAACATAAAACCATGCCATTATCACATTATCCAGTTCATTAACCATTGTTGTTTTTTTGTTGTTTTTTGTTGTTGTTGTTTTTCTATATGTTTATAATATGTTAATTACTTTATTAAAAAAAACAGTACTGTTTTATCAATGACATCAGTATTAACCTTATAGTTATACATTTTAATTGACTGTTCCGAGTCGTTATTGATATACTTGAAAAATAATATAGACTTATACTATATTTACTTTATCAATAAGTTACCATACCCTTCATATACATATGCATGCATGTATATATTTTGTATATGAAGATGAGCTGTATTTCAAAAAAAATTTGCATTCTGTTCTGTTTATATTCGAAAGATTGAACAGAACGATTAGTAAAATAAAAACGTATAGTTTTGTTTTATCAATTCATTCAAAACAAAGAAACCCTAAGGCCGCCTAATACGACAAGATTGAATATGTCGCAGACTCTGTTTGATTTGTTTAGTTAGTGCGCAAAGAATACATTCGTCATTTATTGCTATTTTAATATCAACACTATAAAGAAACTCGTAAGGCCGCCAAATACGACAAGATTGAATATGTCGCAGACTCTGTTTGATTTGTTTAGTTAGTGCGCAAAGAATACATTCCTCATTTATTGCTATTTCAATATCAACACTATAAAGAAACTCGTAAGGCCGCCAAATACGACAAGATTGAATATGTCGCAGACTCTGTTTGATTTGTTTAGTTAGTGCGCAAAGAATACATTCGTCATTTATTGCTATTTTAATATCAACACTATAAAGAAACTCGTAAGGCCGCCAAATACGACAAGATTGAATATGTCGCAGACTCTGTTTGATTTGTTTAGTTAGTGCGCAAAAGAATACATTCCTCATTTATTGCTATTTCAATATCAACACTATTATAAAGAAACTCGTAAGGCCGCCAAATACGACAAGATTGAATATGTCGCAGACTCTGTTTGATTTGTTTTAGTTAGTGCGCAAAGAATACATTCGTCATTTATTGCTATTTTAATATCAACACTATAAAGAAACTCGTAAGGCCGCCAAATACGACAAGATTGAATATGTCGCAGACTCTGTTTGATTTGTTTAGTTAGTGCGCAAAGAATACATTCCTCATTTATTGCTATTTCAATATCAACACTATAAAGAAACTCGTAAGGCCGCCAAATACGACAAGATTGAATATGTCGCAGACTCTGTTTGATTTGTTTAGTTAGTGCGCAAAGAATACATTCCTCATTTATTGCTATTTCAATATCAACACTATAAAGAAACTCGTAAGGCCGCCAAATACGACAAGATTGAATATGTCGCAGACTCTGTTTGATTTGTTTAGTTAGTGCGCAAAGAATACATTCCTCATTTATTGCTATTTCAATATCAACACTATAAAGAAATTATAGACTGCTAAATATTGTATGATCATCGTGACATATAAAAAGAAGCGTCTTACCTGCTCTGCTTTGTTGAATCATTATAATCATAGCTAATAAAGCTGTTAATACCAAGAACTTTGATTGGAACATTTTACAAATCGGCTATGACCAGAGTACACGGCCTTTGTTTATTGTCCGAAATAAAAAGGCTAGCTTTAATACACGCGCTGATTAGTTACACACCTCTGATAGAAAAGGTCAAATAGTTGAATATTAATTACGGCAGTGGTTAAACTGACAGATGGCAACATTTGGTTATGGAAATTGTTAAATTGCTGCGGCTGTAGCGCTCTGAAATATGTCTCATTCTGTAATTTGTTTAGGGGGCTACTAAACAATAATGCACGGTTTATCATTTCAAATACTTTATAGTAAATTGTTACACACTTAATTCTTGTGCTATATATATGTACTTGCTGCTTGAAAATAATGAAACCGTGAGAAGACCCGTTTTATCACTCGATTTAAATTCAAGTATTTCAAACTAAAATGGTTCTTATTAATCACTGTATGTTTGTTTAATACATTATTCATTTTTTTCAACAGATGTTTTAACAACTTCCTTTTATTTTTTTAGAATTTTAGAATTCATCCTTTCGTTTCAATATACGTTATGGTTAGACCATTTTGTGAAGATACTGTTCAGTTTCACGCTTCTAACGTGATTGAACGTGATTTTATGGGATTTTGATTGTATTTTTACTAAGTAAATTGGATTTTTTTAAGACTTTCATGTGAAGTAACACATGCACCAGAGACAGAAAACTGGTCTCATTAATTATCTTATAGAATTTTGTGCTGCAAGGCCTAGGATAAAATTTATCTATCCATTAATCCATTATCTTCATATTCCTATTAGTTTAAAAGCTAAGTAAATCAAAGATTAAACAAATACATCCACACTAAGTATATAAACATAATTATGTTTGATTTTAAAGACACTGTCAAGGACATATGGCGACTTGCAGCTTTACTGGAAGAGGAAGACCTCAAGTGCTCCTTCCTGGATTATTTCGGGGCCGAGTGGCTACCTGAATAGAATCACCGATAGTTAGATAGCTGACCTGACTGAAACATCACACATATGTGGACAAGACAGATCATTCCGAGTAAAAATCAAAGCACACAAGACGCTGAATTTGTTTTGGTTTCAGAATGTCAGAAAGGTGAAGGTTGTGAGATTATAAAACAATTTGTTTTTGTATAGTGCCACCAATACTGTTTCCAGTGTTATAAATGCAGTTGGCTATAAGGCTAATTGCAACACTGATATTCAATTTAATGTTTATTTAGCTTTAACAATTCAAAAATAAAAATAACCTTTTACCCCATGAGCATATTTTGAAAAATGGCCCTTTTCAAAAGCCTCCTGTTACAAGTTCAAACTGCTATGAAACTATGAAAAATGCTCAATAATGATGAAACTTGGCACAAATGTTGATTTGACCATAGCCTCTGTATCAGCATTATCAATCCTAAATTTTCTGTTACCATGGCAATGGAGGCCCGTCTCAAAATTGCCAAAAATCTCTTTTTTGCATTGTTTCTTTTTCATCAAAACTGATTTCAAAGTGCTCCAACTTCTCAATGAATTAAGATAGAGTAAAAGGTTTTTCAGCGTCGGTTACAAGTTACCCTAAGATCGACATGAGGCCATTTTTAGCCTGTCAGATGTCCAAAGGTTTCTTGACTACCGCCCCCCTTCAAACCCCCTAAACAGAAGGGGGCACATCCCCCTTATGGAAACTCCCTGATGTACCATTTTGATGGGGGCCGCGCCGAAAAAATGGTCACTTTTTTAACAACATTTCTCAAATAAAAAACAGTGTTTGGGGCCGAAATAGGGCATTTTTCACTATTTGAGGCCTCAAAAAAGGAGGGGGGGATGCAAAAAGCCGTCAAAACACGTCTATATAAGGGAAAAGGTTAAATAATAAAAAACAAAACAAAACAAAAAAAAAACATAAAAAAAAACATGATTTGCCATAACTGGGATTTGAACTCCAGACCTCTCGCTTCCTAAACGAGCGTATAACCCCTCGACCACGGGGAAGTTATAAAATAACAGCCTGAAGAAAACCACTTTATTCAAAAATTAGAGTTTGCAATCCTTATTAATTTCGAGATATTTTGTTTTACGGTAAACCTGTTGTTAAATACTGATGTAAATAATCATGGAACTTAATATAAGCATGTATATCACAATATTAGAAATCTTCGGCCAATCGGGAACTTTTTTTCCAGAAAGTTAATGCGCCTGTCATTTGACAATTTTTACGCAGTGATCTCCTCTTAATATTTCAGCGTTAGTGTACTTATAAAGGGAAGTAACCGCTTCGAGGAGTCTGGACTACTTGCGGATTTTGCAAAAAAAGCATATCAGGGTCTGAAATTTCGCTTTCATTATTAGTTTGGTCTGACTACCCAGAATCAGGGCATATAGAAGACAAAGAAATGTTGATGTAACTGAATGAAACAATAATTCTCAACAATAAAATCAACAACAACAATAAATGATTTGAAACCATTAATTTTTATTGATAATCATTTTCATAAACTTTAATCCTTCTAAAATATTATTGTTTTTTATAAGACAGTTTTCTTTTTCTTCAACAAGAAAAAGGGGAAAATCAACACATTTCACAATTTCGTCCATGATTTTAAAACCAAGAAAACAAGTTATTAACGTGTGTCTTTATAATGTATCATGTGGTAACGTGATCGATGGGTTTTGATGGAAGATGTTCTCTTGATGTGAATGGTAAACCTGACGTCATTATCATGATCATCTTTTCTTTGTCTGATTTTTTTGCTACCTGTCCCACCTCCACGGCTTATTCTGTCTAGGTTCTCTATGAAGACCGGCACATCGTGCTCAGTATCTGAAGAAAAAAATGCAACCATTTTAACTTTTCTGGATTTGCTGTTTTCCTTACAATATAAATTCAAAATAATTGATACATGTAAATATAAAATAAAATTTCCCTACAATTTCTCCCAAATATTTAAAACGTCCGTATTTCAATCTCAATGAAACTGAGTATGAAAACAAATTAGATCAAAATACTAGAGCATAATGCTAAACATTTCTTTTCTCTTAAAAAAATACAGTTTATTCATTTTCCATAAAATTTTATATGAGCAAGTTATATGTATATTTTTTTGTTTGTTTATTTTTAATCGTGCATGATTTATAATTCTAGATATTCGTTTTTGTTTCATTTATCTGATTTTTTAATTCAATGTTGTTGTTTTTTGTGTGTTTTTTTTTCTTTTTCTTTCTTCATCCTTGAAAAACATAAACAAAAGCAAAAAAAGCAAACAGACAAATAAATAAAATAAAATAAAATTAAAAAAAAATAAAATTAAATAAAAAAATGAGATAAATGCTAAAATAGATATATTGAAAAATAAAGAACGTAAAAATAGAAAATAAATTATCTACCTCCAGCTTCTATTAGTAACAAACAGAAAGATAAAATCTGTATCATCAACAGAATCTTTGAAGCAGACATTTTTGAAATGCTTCACATAAAATCTGAACAGTAAATAATTCAAATCCTATTTAACCTGACTGAAAACAATACGTCACGAGAACAATTAATGAACATATCTAAAGGCAATAATTCATACTGTCTGAATTTTACTCAACAGAACAGTATACTTGATTTATGTTTTTATACCTTTGTAATGCTTAATAATAATAGACAAGTAATATTTAATATATTTACATGCGCCAAGTTGGAATTGACATGACAGATGTGATGTTGGCATTGTTAAGCCTATCCTATCCTTTTGTGTCTGATTAATTATGTCATGATAAATTTCTATCTTTATTTATTTATTTACTTATTTATTCATTTATGTATTTATTTATTTAAAGCATAAGTTTATATCCAAGGACAACACAAATAAGATTACAAACGCGTGTGAGAAAACTTCTATCGTTTATGTGCAATACGTATAACGCTAATCTGAATAAAAAAGGTCCTAAAAGCAAACACTAAGATAAAAAACCTGGAAGTAGGATAATCACAACAAAATAACATGAAATGAAAATTGCAGACCCGGTTTGATCGAGTCTCTACACGATGGACAATGCTAAAGTGCAACATCCCACACGCCACCTAGCGGCTTGAGCGGTACCAATTTTTGAAGTTTTGTTTTACTCTTCACCGCATTCATCTAGGATCCCATATCCTAACATCTTCCTTCCCGAAGATCGAATAATATTTCAAGGAACATTTAGCGGATGTTGCATATAATATCGTATCTAATTAGCATACTATGTCAACAATCTGGAAAAGGGGAGATCATATAAGGAGAATTAAAACAAAAAAATATAGTGGATAATAAATGGTGAAACATTTCTTTAGCCCCTTAGCACCGGCTTAAAACATATTCAATCGAAATGCTTTTTCGTATGTTTTTTTATTATTATTAGATAGTTAAAATGTAAAATGACATTAAGTGCTTACGATGCTCAATAAATTAAATGTATAGATATTGACAAATTGTTTTTTGACAGAAAAAGGGAAGTCAAAGTTATTTACATTGTTGTTATTGATCAACAGTAATATTGTAATAACTCATATTGTCTACTTGACTTGATTTTGTCATTGAAGATAACGAACATATATGGAAACGTCTCTGCTTCGGCAAAATTGAAAATGTTACAAAATTTGTTTCATTGTTCCTGTTCAATGGACGGTATACAAACTTCCCTTGAACCCACTCCCTAGCATATACCAAGGTATTATTTCTTGAATGTTACCAAAATACATTAATATTACATATTTAAACCAGTGACAATTGACAGCTTTAAAGGATGATATGATGGTATACATGTCACTACAATATGTCACTTCAAAATACCACACATTAATTTCGTGTTGTATTTTTCCCGCTATTTTATATGAGGTTCCTGTGGCAAAGCTGTAAACGCATGCCAGATGGTTCACCTTTAATGTTCAGTTGAATACCAATACCATAAAAATATTTGATATAACAAATATATGTAAAAATAGTGAATCTATTTGATGTATATTATAATAATAACGATGCAGTTAAGAATCATTTATTAATAAGTGATTTTATACAATGTATTCAAACCTACATTAAAGACCCTGTAACGCATTTTTTTTATTGTTTTATATCATAAATCTGATGCTCATATGGAGATTTATCCATAATGTAAGATTCGAAAAGCATTATAAACATTTCATGTAAATAAAGGGAGTTAATTAGACATTCATTTTCGACAACGTCTAAGCCAATTCTTTTCAATAAAATTGAATGGATTTATTTTAACGTTTAATTGTATTGTATATAAACATTTGTTGTACATATTAGGCATATTCTTGGATGTTTTAAAATTGTTTTAGAAGAATGATTATCCAATAAATAAAATTTTTCTTAACTGTATGTTACATCCTTAATTTTAATACACGAATAAAGAAAATAAACCTAAATAATAACGTTATCATAAACTATCTTGATAGGCGGTTACTTTTTTGTGATGGTTCAAATATGATTATATGAAAGAAGCAATCTCGCAATCTAAAGAGTTAAGAAATTTAGAACAAAGAATAAGATATCGAATTATGTAAATTTTTACATTGTACATGCCACTGATTATATGTTATTTAAAATACCTTGTCAAAAACTGTTATTTAAAACTATATATATTGAACAGAGTTCTTAACTCTTTAGAAATATAGAATACACATTTTCTTTCGATGCAACAAATGTGTCACAGATTAATAGAAGATTTGCATTATAATATCCATTAACTCTTCCGATGTAAATAGGTAAATATGTATTAATATTTCTTATCTTATCTATCTTATGATCATGACATGTCATCAGTATACTTCATGTGTACAATGGATTAACATTGTTATCATATGATCTAAATATAGATGCAATCTCATTGGTCTAAAAAGTAGTTAACAGAAAATTTTATAAAATCATATTCACTGGGTGTAGTATCATATTCACTGGCTGCATTGGATTTTCCCTGTCTAAATATAGATTTAGACTTATATTCAATAACCATACACCGTAGACTGTTAATAACACGTACGCATTAAACAATAATTGTTGCATTTTGTTCTTTATGGCATATTTCTCGATTAAAATATCATTACTTTACTATTATACTTAAGGGCCTCACCGCGATGATGAGTATAAACTTGAATTACCTTTGCATGCATGCGCAGCTTTCGCGTATTCGCTGCACGCTTGCACGTGCGTCTTTTTTCCCGCGCTTCAACAAATCAGGCAAAAGTTGTACATGAATAATGTTGTACTTTCTGTGACTTTTTTTATTATTATAGCCCTATTCATATAATAAAACAACAATTGACTAGAGTGCCATTGAATGAAAATTCAAATATTTCGTTCTTCTGAAAAATATGTAATCAGTATACTTTGCCTTAAAGATAAAATGCTTTTGCTTTATACTTTATGTATGAATTAAATATTTTTGTTCTTCTGGAAATTATGCTTCATGTTACTCTCACTGTGTATACCATTATTAACATTGTTTTCTTCATGTTGTCTATAAAGATTGTACAATAAGTTTAATGCTAAATAAAATTCATGTTTTGCTTTGTTATATAGATACAAAGTACAAAAATGTCACTTTCTATATTCATTTATACATGCCTCCCTTTGATCTAATATACAAAGTATATTATTTGATCTCATCGTAATCTAACCACTAATTTGTATTGTAGAACTAACATTTCATCGAATAACGTATGTTGGTAATTAAATGCTCAATTATCAGACTTATCCATTTTCAGAACTACTGCTGGAAGCAATTCCATTTGTTTAATATCATAATCTAAACGCTTACTATTCGTTAATAGTTTTCATACTTTTGTTTGAAGATAACGATATAAAAATACGTATGTTTTAACCAATCATATGTGCCGCTAACATTACCAGAGACGAACATAATTCATAAATTACGATATCATAAGCTATCTTGATCAAACACATTTTACAATGATCACAGGGTGTAATGCATTCCCTGAGATGTAGTATAAACAGTATCTGAAATTCATTAATATTACGCTAGCATAGTAAAAGAAATAGATCAATATGGCAATCCCCCGACACCATTAAACTAGCGTCACTGCCAGTCAACCAGAAGGGCCCGATCCCCCCTCACCACAACACCACTAGAAAAAACAATGAACATAAATTAATTAAGAAATATATAAAATATATTGAATAAATAAATAAATTAATAACATTGAAGAAGGGAAAGGTTAGGGGTCAATTTTGCACGTTTTAGCTCTTTTCATTTTATTCATTTCACTGTAATATAATAATTGCTTGTATCTAATGAATAAAATCAAAAAGAAGGAACGTTATTCGTGAACTGTCTTTGTTAAAAATGCTTGCAAGGAATTTCATATTATAATAATAATTTCATGTATTATCAAATAAATGACTCTCATCTTTTGTGTAGAAAAGGCAAAGTTATATTTCAAAATGTGGTAATAGTTGTTAAATTATGTTGTTATTATGATTTAGAGCATACATTTGTAAGATGCTTATTACTTGTAGAAAATAGTGCTTAGAGTTGAATAATTTGTCTTAAAATGACGTTTCGACTTCCATACCAAATAATGAATTTCTATGTACTTATAGCCTACACGCAAATACAAAGTATAAAAATGTTCCCAAAAATGAAACCCTTTTCATATGCATGTTAAGGCTTAAAATTGTGCCTTCAAAAAAACAATAAAAACGCAACGATCAGAAATACATCATATCTAGAATTGTATGTATTATATATGTTACTTAACTTTTATTTTGTGGACAACAATTTTACTATCAATACTCTGTCTCTTTCACAAAATGAATTTTTTACTTTTCACGGTTTTGAATGTTTTATTCAGCTCATAATAAAAGGATGTTTTAATACAAAAGAAATGTACGTGGAAAATAATTTTATCACGTAAATGAATATGATTTTTTAGTTATATCACCTGATTTATGATTTATAGGTAATTGACATGCCTCATGGCAGAAACATTTCATTTAAAGCTCTGACGATGTATTTTGTTGTATGAGGTGCAACATATTGTTGTATTATGTGCAACATATTGGCTGTTGTAACATTAATAACAGCAGTTTTGCAAGTATTAAATGCAAATATGAATAATATTAGTGGTACGTGCGTAGATGTACATCTCATGAATAGCTTAAATTAAGTGTCTGATGAATTCAACAGCATGAAAAATGATATCACAAGAGTGTGATTTAATGCACCTATTCCGGTGCACAAAACAAAAACATGAATAACAGCATTTAAGCTAGTATTAAATAAAAACTAAAACATATAAGTGGTAGGTGCGTAGATGATGCCAATCGCATAAACAGCTTAAAATGAGTGTTTGTGATTAAATTAACAGCATAATAATTGTCTCTTTAATACTGATTTAGAATACCTTTCCCCGTGCACAAATACTTGCGGAAGGACAACGCTCGAGTCTAAAAAAGGGGGAATCAATAGAGACCGAGGGCTTTAAGATATGTTCATGCACGTAGGATCATTAGAGC